ATTTCTGATTTCTTCAATTTCATTCTGCAGCTGAAAAATCAGAGTCTTATCAAAATATCTCATTAAGAAAATATTAGTGCAGTTTTCTCAAAAGTCTGTTTCTACATTAAAAAAGACTTTTTTTTCAAAAAAAGTTCAGGTGTTTTAGAAAAAGTTTATTTTTTCTGAAAAGTCTGTTTCTGCATTAAAAAAATTGTCGACAAAAAATGTTTTTTTTGACCTGCCACAAACAGACAGACAGACAAACGCATTTTATTTCATATGACCCTCCCTACGGTCGAGGAAATATAGAAAAACACTTCGAGAAAAATAGCTCTGTTTGTTTAGGAGTTTTTTGAATCGTTGAACTTGTCATCTCTTTTTTTAGTTTAATAGTAAGAATTTTCAAAACAAGCTCACGAGAAGGGCAGCATTTTGTCATGCACTTTCAAATAAAAACGATATTTGAATTTATTTTTTACTATTCAAGAATTTGACTGGTGCTACGATAGAGCTATTTGTGACAATGGCTTGATGAACATCTTTGTCGAATNGTATGCATGCGTGAATATTAATGAGAAGAAAGGGGAGAACGCATAAGAAACTATTTTTCATTTACCGGTTAATGTCATTACTATGGCATGCGCACGGCAATGCAGGAGATAAGAGAAAAATAAAAATCGCTCGCGAATGTGGAAAAACGGATCACATAGTTTGTCATTATCAAAAAAACAAGTAATGGATGAAGCAAATTGAATAATTCAATTGTTTAAAGAACGGGCTTCTAACGAACTACCGGTTTCATCATCACTTACTTCAGTACAAGAAGAAGAAGAAGTTGTCAATCAATTATTCTAAGTATTTGAATCAATATGGACAAGCAATTCGTACAATCAAGAAGACGAAACAACTCTGGATCACAATACATCAGTATGCTAAGAGATGTACCGATATAATACTTTATCTATTGTATTTTATATCATCCGTATATTGTACATACCATCATGTATATGCGAGGTCATCGTTACGTTATATTACTCTTATTTCTCATCATCTTTTTATTAAATCACTTGTTATCCTTGCGCTGTATCACTCTTAGTGTATATAACTGTAGTATGTTGTTTGATGAAATATAAGTGAATAAAGTAATGGCGAGATAAACTAATTAATGTATATATCACTTTTTATTTTTATTTTACACAAAAATACAGTAAGCTTTCGATTTCTTTCAATAGGTCGTTTTCAACACAACAGTTACATGAAAGAAATTTGTACACTATATAGAACAATATCTGTTAATTGTTTTTGTTGATTTGACTCTTTTTCTAATTATTTTCAAACATTGCACTGCGAAGGGAAGAATTAGTGTCATCGCGGTGCACTGTTAGAGAATAATTAGAAAAAGAGTCAAATCAACAAAAACAATTAACAGATATTGTTCTATATATTGTACAAATTTCTTTCATGTAACTTTTGTGTTGAAAATGATCTCTTGATTGAAATCAAAGGCTTACTGCATTTTTGTGTAAAATAAAAAAAAAAATTATAGATGAGTTAGTTTATCTCGCAATTATTTTATTCACTTACATTTCATCAAACAACATTAGTATTTTAAAGCGTCTCACCACCAAACATAGTCGAGGTATGTTGAAAGAAATTAGATTCTATGAGAAACAACTTCTCAAATTATTAAAAGCTCAATGCGATACTGAATTTTTACGCACCTCATTATTATACAATCTTACACCAAAATTTGTACGTTATTGTTTATGGAATCAAAAATATGTTCACAATCTAATACACAAATGTCATCAGCGTCACTACCTTCAATTAGAATATTATAATAAATGCAAACAAACACACCAACTCCATCAAAATACAGAGACAATTTTATCAAACATCGATAATAAACTTAATCCGTTCGAACGCAAATCATTAAAAGACTACTTCAACGCAATCAAAGAGAAACAATTAAACAAAATCAAAACAACCCACGCAAACAAGATTTTTAACTTATAAAATAGCAATGTCATCTTACAAAAAAAAGATAATAACAAGGTAGTACATAATGTATCTTCTCGTGCACTTTCGACAAAAGAAGAAACTACTCTTTCGAAAGGTCTAGAATTTTGCATTGGTACGAAAATAAAAAACAGCCTACAATTCAAAACAGAAATTGAAATGATGACTTACAGAATATTGAAAGAATTAGATGAACCTGGTCCTAAGTCTTTGGATAAACATCTAACTGACTGTATAAAAAGCTCAGCTTATGGAACATTAAAAGTGAATAAGAACAAGAAAACAATTAATATGAGTTCCGACGAATTAATAGGATTAAAATCGTTATTAAATGATAAATCAATCGCATTAATGAAAGCTGATAATGGAAGATTCTGCGTGTTAGGGGACAAAGAACAATATGTTCAAAAAGTTAATCAACTACTATCGACAGGAAAAATATTTCAGAAAATGAATTATACAGATGAAAAGGGTAAAAGAAACTCTATTGAATATGTAGTAAATAAGATGGAAGCAAAACTTAATTATCGTATTGCTGGATTAAAGAGAACAAAGAAACTCACTAAAGTTGAATGTAAAGCCATCGAAGCTGTTGCAACTGGATGTCCAATATTATTCTGTCAACCAAAAGTACACAAAACAGGCATGCCCTTACGTCCTATCATACTATATACTTCTAATAGTTACAACTACAACCTATCAACATATCTTACAAAACTATTAGAAGAAAGCAAGAAACAGATCACCCTCTTACATAAAAGACTAATTCACTTTTGCCAAAACTATACAACAGAAAACAGCATTAAAAAAATGATTATATGATTAGTCTCGATGTCGAATCATTGTTTACTTCAAATCCTGTTCATGAAAGAATTGATTTAGCGATAAAAACAATCTTAGAAAAGAAAAATAATGATCAATAATTTACCAAACTTGAAGAAAATGATCTAAGACAATTATTTGAATTATGCGTAACAAATATGCCATTTAGGTTCTATGAACAATTGTAACAGCAAATAGAAGGTGTGAGCATGGGATCACCATTAGCCCTAGCTCCCGCCGATACATTCATGACTCATATTGAATCAAATTTACAAAATTATGAATTTAATGATAAAATTAAAACGTATTACCGTTATGTCGACGTCACGTTCATTATCATTGATGGAAAAGAAAAAGATGTAGATTATCTACTACATTATATTAACTCTTTACACGCTAACATCAAATTCACTTGTGAAAAAGAAATTAATTTTGAAATTTCATTTTTAGACGTAAAGATTATCCGTGAAAGAACAATATTTTTAACCACTATATTTAAAAAGAAAACACACAGTGGACAATTTTTACATTGGAACAGTTGTCAACCAAAAAAGTACAAAGTAGATTTAATACGAGCTTTAACTTATCGGCACTTTCAATATGCTCCTTCAAAACATTATTACATCAAGAATATAAAACAATTGAATCACTTTCAACCAGCAACGGATATCCCTTGAATTGAATTAAAAGAAAAATGAACAACACAATCGACCAATTTAATAAAACAAAATCCGAAAAACACAAAAGAAGACCTTCTTTATACTCATCACTTATCATGGATATGAAACTAATTTGATGGCTAACAAAATAAAAAAAATGATAGAACGCTTTTATCCAATGACAAAAGTTATATTTGGATACCAAAAAGGATTAACACTCTCCACAAATTTTTACCGAAAACTACAAAGGAAATGATCCTATGAATATTGGCGCAGTATACAAATTAACCTGTACAAACTGTCAAAAAATATACATTGGACAAACAAATTTCGAAGTCAAACATAGAATGAAAAAACAAAAGATGGACTGAAAGGACAAGGAAAAAGTACTGCAGCTAATTATGTTCTCAATAATAAAATTCACAGAATAAATTTTGATGCATCTTCAATTTCTAGCAAGAGACCATAACAAGAAAAGAAGAGAAATAAAAGAAACTCTTCTAACTATTAAAAATTCAAACTCATACAATACTATATCCCACGATTTAATGGTATTCAATTAAATTTATGAAGCGAAGAGGAGAAACATTGCACTGCGATGACATTAATTCTTCCCTTCGCAGTGCAATGTTTGAAAATAATTAGAGAAAGAGTCAAATCAACAAAAACAATTAACAGATATTGTTCTATATATTGTACAAATTTCTTTCATGTAACTTTTGTGTTGAAAATGACCTCTTGATAGAAATTAAAAGGTTACTGTATTTTTGTGTAAAATAAAAATAAAAAATGATAGATGAATAACTTTATCTCGCAACTGTAGTATGATGTCATCCTCATATCTATACTTAGTAATGTTCATTGTGTTCTATATTCTTTCATTACCATTGTAATTGTTTGATGATATGCTGTTATTTGTCAACGCTTGTGCAATTGTTGTACTACATCCTGTATGTATTTACATTGTTTTCTTTTCATGAGAAGGTTAAGGTGAAGGATAAAAGATAACAGTGAAGTATATATTCAGTTAATGATAGTGTACGGGTGGAGTAAGGTCGACCAACGATATACACATGTGTGAGCAAGACACATAGTGGTGTATAACTTTATATGTAAAAGAAGAATAATGCTGTTGAAATAAAAGAGCAAGTGATAGCGACAAGTAACGGAAGTGTGCAAAAATCAACAGAAACAACACAAAGCGAAGCACTTGCTGATATCTCTTATTATCATTTTTCGTTACAATTGGACAATGAGACAGATGAATATGAGGAAGATTTTGATGAAGCATCTTATGATCCAGATTATGAATCAAAAGACGAGAAGACATCGTTGTTCGAATCATTCTCTTTGTCATACATGAAACGAGCGCTTGATTACTATGNATATTTTATTTGATTTCATTGTTAGAAAGGTATTAGAAGAAGCATCACTTACAGGTATTAAGTTAGCTCATGGTATAATAATTTTTATCATAGTGGTCGAGAGAAATATGAAGAATTTGACATTCTAACATTAATGTATGCTGATGATTTAATTGCGATGTGTAATACTATTAATGATCTTGAAAAATTTATTCTTGTATTTGAAAAAGTAACACAACAACATGGATTAATAATGAGTGCGAAGAAAACATATATAATGTCTTTACAACAGTTTAAACAAGATGTTAATGGAAAAATTTTCAAGAATCAAGAAGTTGATCAATTTGATGTTGATATATTAATTAGAAATCATAAAATTGAAATAACTGACTCATTTTGTTATTTAGGTTGTTTACTTTCTAGAGATCAACATCTTGATAAAGAAATTGAAGTTAGATTAACAAAAGCAACAGCAGCATTTAATATGCTAAAAAGTGTTATTTGGTATCGTAAAACAGTTTCTGTAAATGCCAAGTTACGCATTTTTCGAGCCTGCATACTTCCTGTTCTTTTATACGGTAGTGAAGTATGGACTTTAACGGTGGCTCAAGAAAATTGAATTAATATTTTTTATATGAAATGTTTAAGAACAATCCTTGGTTTAGATCTAGGTGACCGTGTTTCAAATTTTAGAATTATGGAATTATCTGGTCAACCTCCAATTGAAAATATCATGTGAAGAAACCGATTTAGATGGTTTGGTCACATAAATAGAATGGAATATGATGATAATCGGGTATCATTGATGAAAAAGAGCATGTTCTCATATTTTTCGGGTAGCAAACGTCCTGGTAATGTTGGCATTAGAAAACGATGGGAGGATAAAATAATCGAAGATCTAGAAAAATTTGGTATTAAAAACTGGAGAAAAGACACTAGACTAAGAGATAAATGGAGACAATTAATTAATCAAAATGTAGGTATTAATCCTGCTCATGTAGACATTAAAAATATACTGTTGGACTACAAAAAACGTACACAAAAAAGAAGGTCTCAAGAATCAGCTGCAAAGCGTGGCATTATCCAGCGGAAAGTAGCAGAAATATTAAATAAAGATAATAATAATTATTATACATGTCCAAAGTGTGGTAGTCGATTCAAACCACAAGGAATTACTGGGCATGTAAAATCATGTGCAAAGCTGTGGTGCAAGAAGCACAAAATTACATTAAAATAGTAATGCAACAAATGAAATAGTAATCTTTCTGTGATAAAATGAAGAATATTATCTAAACCATTATAGAGGATAATAATCTGATGATATATGATGAATTAATATTTCATGAGATTGAACATAACATTGGCCGAAAAGAACACTTCCTTTTATTATACTTTGTGTGATTGTTATAGTGTGATTTCTTTTCATTTCGCATTTTGCTGTCTCACCCTACACCGCAAGGTAATTGGGTATATCTATCTGTCTATCTATCAGACATTAAAGATAAATAAGAACAAACAACAATTAATGTTAGCTCCGATGAATTAAAAGGATTACAACCGCTGTTAAATGATAAATCAATCGTATTGATGAAAGCTGATAAAGGAAGATCATGCGTGTTAATGGACAAAGAACAATACATTCAGAAAGTTAATCAACTACTATTAACAGGAAATATAATTCAGAAAATGAATCATGCAGATGAAAAAGGTAAAAGAAACACTATTGAATATGTTGTAAATAAGATGGAAGCAAAACTTAATTATCGTATTGGGGAATCAAAGAGATCAAAGAAACTTACAAAAAAGGAATGTAAATCCCTAGAAGCAGCTACAGCTAGATGTCCGGTATTATTCTGTTAACCAAAGGTACACAAAACAGATATGCCTTTATACGTCCTGTCATATCTACGTCTAATAGTTACAATTGCATCCTATCGAAATACCTTACAAAACTATTAGAACAAGCAAGAACCAAACCATCTTCTTACATAAAAGACTCATTTACTTGTGCCAAAATGATATAACAGCAAAAACCGTTAAAAAATGATTTTATGATTAGTCTCGATGTAGAGTTATTATTTACTTCAATTCCTGTTCAAGAGACAATTGGTTTAGCAATAAAAATAATTTTAGAAAAGAAAAATAATGACCAATCATTTACCAAACTCGAAGAAAATGATCTAAGACAATTATTTAAATTGTGTGTAACAAATATGCCATTTAGATTCTGTGATCAATTGTATCAACAAGTAAAAGCTGTGAGTATGGGATCACCAACCACTGGCACTAGCTCTCGCCGATCTCTTCATGACTCATATTGAATCAAAGTTGCAAACTTATGAATTCAATGATAAAATTAAAACTTATCATCGTTACGTGGATGACAAGTTCATTATCATAAATGGAAAAGAAAAAGATGCTGATAATCTATTACAGTATGTTAACTCTTTACACCCCAACATCAAATTCACTAGTGAAAAAGAAAATAATTTTGAAATCTCATTCTTAGACGTGAAGATCATTCGTGAAAGAACAAAATTTGCAACAACTATATTTAGAAAAAAAACACACACTGGACAGCTTTTACATTGGCACAGTTGTCGAGGGAAGAAATATAAAGGAGATTTAATACGAACTTTAACTTACCGTGCACTCTCTATAGGTTCATCCAAAACATTATTACATCAAGAATGTCAAACGATTGAATCACTTTTAGCTAGCAATGGATATCCTTTGAATTTAATTAAAAGAAAAATAAACAACACAATCGAGCATTTTAATAAAATAAAATCCCCCAAAACGCCAAAAAAGACATTCTTTATACCTATCACTTACCATGGTTACGAAACTATTTTGATGACTAACACAATTAAAAACATGATAGAACGCATTTATCCTACGACAAATGTAATTTTTGGATACCGCAAAGGACTAACACTCTCTACACTTTTCAGCAAAAATTACAAGGGTACTGATCCTATGAATATTGGCGTGGTATACAAATTAACCTGTATGAAATGTCAAAAAGTATACATTGGACAGACCAATTTCGACGTCAAACATAGAATGAAACAACACAAAAATAGACTTAAAGAACAAGGAAAGAGTACTGCAGCTGATCATGTTCTCAATAATACAAACCACAATATAAACTTTGATGCACTTGAAATTCTAGCAAGAGACAATAACATGAAAAGTAGAGAAATAAAAGAAACTCTCTTAATTTTTAAACATCCGAACTCATACAATACAATATCTCATGAATTAATGATATTCAATTGAACTTATCAAGCCAAGGGGAGAAGCATTGCACTGCGAGGACACCATTTCTCCCCTTCGCAGTGCAATGTTTGAAAATAATTAGAAGAAAAGAAC